CCCGAAGAACGAAAATATAAATGATAATGTGGCAATCGAAGATCAGCGGAAAATAACGACTGAATTATTCGGGTTAACACCTATCTTATATGTGTATGCATGTTTATACCAGTTTCAGGACATGACGTTTTTTTCATGTCGATAAAGTTTCCCTAGTGTGCCTAAACTTTGATACTCGGTATTCAAATTGATAGCTGTATCCGTGTTTGTATTAAAGCTGTTATCAAAATGATAGTATAGATCAACTGGAAAATTGTTATTAATCTATAAGGTACTTCTAAACGAATTGGAGATGAAAATCTGTATTTCAGCACTTCAAAGGAAATTTTTCATATTGATTCCGGATATATAAATCTATTGGTTGATATAGTTTCCGATTCTGATAAGTCCGTCACATAGATATGTATCTGTATTAGTATATTCAAGTTTGTCTTTCCAACTTCTAATAGTTACTAAGGAAAATCTATAAACAATACATAATTTGTCACTGCTAATAGTCAACTGTTATACACAGTTTGTATATAAATATTAATACGACAGTTACCGGGAAAGAAATGTTACAGGAAGATTTGATACAAGGAAGTGTGTATAGGACTACAAAGTAAGGGTCACGTGACAAATGACTTTTCTGAAGTGTGAGATAATCATCATTTCCTAAAGAAAGAGAATTAGGCTGTGACATGTGGTACCGGTATTTCTGAAGTGTGAGATATTCATCATTTCCTTTTTAAAGAGATTTAGCCTGTGACATGTGGTATTTCTGAAGTGTGAGATATTCACCATTTCCTTTTTAAAGAGAATTAGCCTGTGACATGTTGTATTTCTGAAGTTTGAGACAATCAGCATTTATTTTAGAAAGAGAATTAACCTGTGAAATGTGGGAGTTCTGAAGTGTGACAATCAGTATTTCTTTTATAAAGAGAATTAGCCTGCGACATGAGGTATTTTTGAAGTGTGAGACGATCAGTATTTCTTTTAGAAAGATAATTAGCCTGTGAAGTGGTATTTCTGAAGTGTGAGACAATCATCCTTTCCTTTTATAAAAGGAATTAGCCTGATTTAAAATATATTGCTGATTCTCTTAAAGTGCATGGAATATTTGTTACTGGACGTATTGCAAAACAATATTTTATCTTATCTAGCATCTCATATTGATGATCCTATAAAAGTTCATGAGATATTTGACACTGGACGTAAACAACAATCAACTAATCATTAATGTTATTAAAATATAAAGAAAACAGGCAAGTAAACTTTCTAGCGACTTAGACTATAAAAATACCATTTGAACCTCATATGAGGTTCTACAACTCGGGGTCTGGATTAGAGTTACAGATAACAAAATAATGGGCAACACAAAAATAGGAAAATGGGCAATTATAGAGTATAGAGAACAACGAGGTGTTAGATATAAGGAATATATAATTAGGGTAAAAAAGGAGAGGAAAATTGCCTTAAGATTAAAGAGTTTAGAAAATGAGGTTTCCTATTCACACCCACTTGTATTTTATCGAAAAAATAGTTTGCTTTTGATATGAGTATAAAACCGATGCCCCTCTACCCCCTCACACAAAAGACGAATGGTGTATGTCTAAATACGATATTGCATCATTATCTTTCATGTATTTGTACTTAAAGAAATTCATCCATCGGTAATTTTCATATAGTTTTATATTTTACCGGTATTTTAATAAATTTCCCCCCAATATTTTGTGTTAACGTATAAGATAACATTAGACATTAGACATTAAACATTAGACATTAGACATTTGACATTAGACATTAGACGTTAGACGTTAGACATTAGACATTAGACGTTTGACATTAGACATTAGACGTTAGACGTTAGACATTAGACATTAGACAGTAGACAGTAGACATTATACATTATACATTAGACAGTAGACGTTAGACGTTAGACGTTAGACGTTAGACATTAGATATTAGACAGTAGACATTAGACAGTAGACATTAGACATTACATTAGACATTAACGTTAGACATTAGACATTAGACAGTAGACACTTGGCATTAGACAGTAGACAGTAGACATTAGGCATTAGACATTAACATTAGACAGTAGACTGTAGACAGTAGACATTAGACATTATATAAATAACACATAGCTGAGAGGGTGATAGAGCAGATTGTTACCCCGAGAAAACATTGTCATTAACGTTAGACATTAGACATTAGACAGTAGACACTTGGCATTAGACAGTAGACATTAACGTTAGACATTAGACAGTATACACTTGGCATTAGACAGTAGACAGTAGACATTAGGCATTAGGCATTAGACATTAACATTATACATTAGACAGTAGACTGTAGACAGTAGACATTAGACATTATATAAATAACACATAGCTGAGAGGGTGATAGAGCAGATTGTTACCCCGAGAAAACATTGTCAACTGAGGCGAAGCCAAGGTTGACAATGTCTTTTCGAGTGGTAGCAATCTGCTCTATCACCCTCTCAGATATGTGTTATTTAATTTATTATACTGAATGTTCTGTTATTACTGTCGATTAAATTTCAAATTCAAAGTAATAAACTATGACGTCTTGTACATAACATCCATCCGTATTTAATAAAGCGCACACTTGATCAAGCGTCTCCGTGAAGGGTAATAGAGTATTTGCCATAGGATAGAGTCGTATTTAATAAAGCGCTCACTTGCTCAAGCGTCGCCGTGAAGGGTAATATAGTATTTACCATAGAATAGAGTAAATTGTCTACCTCGTATTAACCAATCAAAATCTGGAATTTTGACATGAAGTATAATAAGAGATATTAGTCATTAGTCATTAACCATTAGACATTAGACATTAACATTAGAAATTAGGCATTAGACATTAGATATAAGCCATTAGACAGTTGACATTAGACATTAGATATTAGTCATTAGATATTAGACATTAGACATTATTTTATTCACCAATCATGGGCCCTTGTCAGGCAAGATACATTAACATCATAATACAATAATACTTACAAAATATGCAAGTTTAAGTGAAAATACACAATACACCTGGAAAAAAAGTAAATATGAGCAATATAGGATCGTATTGCAGTATGAAGCATTTAGTGTAATGAGGTCGAGATAAATATGTTTACTTTGACCCATGACGGACAAAATCAATACTGATAAACTTCTATATATATATATCAATAAAACAAAAATGACAGACAATGTATAGGCTCAGTTTGTCTTATGTAAATACTTTGATCGGATAAATATAACACGGGGGATGGGGATGGGGATATAAAGATGTTAAACGTCATATGGTTTGTATATTTTAGAAATGAATAAAAATATAGTATATAGAAACCAATAAAGTCCTCAAATATATAAAGATATTTATAAATTCACTCAGGTAAATATTTAGATTTATCAGTTGACCCATAAGCCAGAGCATCATATTCATTGATATTAACATAACAAAACATGATGAATAATATATTAGATTTTTTTTATATTGAAGTAGAATTTAAAATTAGAATATGTATTCAGTGGTATGTATCATGTGCATATTAACCAAAGAATTTCAAATTTGTATATACATGAACTATTTTTCACTAGACGTTAAGCAAACAACAATCAAACCATTATTTGTAAGAAAACTGACCAAGCATGTACCCTTGAACATGAATATTGATATTATAATTCATAGGTGTGGCTATTTTTTTTTGCAGACATTTCAATCTAAAATTAGAAATTTATGACCATAAGTTTACCTTGACTTATGTTATCTCTAAAGTGGATTTTAATCTTATATGGAGGACGATTTAAATTTCTCAGTTCGTTTCAAATTGAAGTAGTGTAAATTATTGATTATGAAAATGTCGGTGATCAGACAAAACAAATTGAAAAAAGTTGAATTTATAATGTGAATGATAGCGATCAGCTTTCAGATAAAACAAATGGAATATAAGCTGTGAAATCAATAATTCAGGTATGATAACTAATTGTTGATATATCACCCGTGTTTTTGCATGGTTCATGTTCTATGAATGTAACTGAAACTGGTAAAGAAACTAATCATGTGTTAATCTATTGATTTACACCAAGATGTCGTTAAATTTGATACCCTCCATTTTTCATACTTTTCTGTAACATATGATCAAATCACTGAAAGACCCCCCTCGGGTCCTAAATTATTGAAAACTATCATTCTGCTTTGAAAATGATATTGTAATGCCGGCCTTCCCCCTTTTTATAGTAAATATACGTCTGTATAGTTTCTGGAAATTATTGAGGATAAACGATAGATGTTAGTGAGATGTCCAATGTTGAGAATAATATAAGACCTGTAATTTGTTATTTTGGCTGTTGTTTCAAGGATGTATACCTGATTCCGGTGTAATGTTAAAATCCGGGTTTTCGTTGAACTGAAAGCGCGTGCATGGGTCGGAGGTCAGAGGTTACAGACAATTGGTTCACCGCTGTATGGCAACAGATGTAATTACGCCAAACAGTCTTCACTACAGGTAAAAATATATTTATCAGCTCAAGATTGTGTTTTTCCACCATTCCAAAATCATCGAAAAATATTGAATATTCATCCAAAATCAATCTATTGTTATTGATTTATCGTCTGCCATTTGTAAGGCGTCCCAAACAACAATCACGTGATAATAAAACGTCCATATGACTCCGGAAAATCTATGGAACGCCTGATTAACAAAAATGAACACTTTTTCAGGTTTTAAAAAAGAAGTGACTTATCATTTTTTTTTATGTTTTTGAGAAACCATTTCTGTTGATTGAATTTAATTTGAATTTATAAAAATTAATATGAAGACCAAATAACTGTGATTATAGGACAAAATGCTTGCACAATGATTATATCAATTGTGATTTATAAATAAAATAATTGCAGCTATAAATGAGAAAAAAAAAAATGGATAAAAAATTATTTTAAAGCAGATTTTAGTTTTTACTTACTTTTTAAAATATTTATGAGTGTTCATTTTTATTACAGATATCTTCAAAATGAAGAAAAAGCAGTATGACCCAAATGCTTTGAAATATGCCTATGATGCTGTCCAAAATGGAATGTCTGTTTACCAGGCTGCAAAAAACTATGGTATTCCAGAAAGCACACTTAGAGATAGGACACTTGGTTTGGTTTCTGTGGATGGAAGATGCTCAAATTACCTGTTTGATGAGGGTATTATGGGCAAAAGAAAACTTCAGGAGGATATATTAAGTAACAAATGGTACTACTCCTTTATGAAAAGATGGCCAAATTTAACTATTAGTAAACCACAGAAATTGTCCATGCAGAGAGCTAGATGTGCATCAAAGGAGACACTCTCCAACTACTACAAAGAGCTGGGCACTATTATGACCCAAAACAATCTCCATGATCAGCCACAAAAAATCTTCAATATTGATGAGAGTGCTCGGCAAACTGAACATAAACCAAATAAAATAGTTCACGACATTGTTGTTAAGCCCCAGTCTGTCACATCTCCAAGGTCTTCAAATGTAACTATAATTGGTGCTGGCAATGCTATTGGTAATGCTGTTCCACCCTATTACGTATTTCCAGGTGTAAAATTTGACAGGGCTCTTCTACTTGATGGCATAGCCAGAAATTAGTAGTACTTTTGCTAATTAATATTCATAATATGTAAATGAGAATTGTACCACGTGATAATAGTTTGAACTGGACTGGCTTGATACAGTACAACCTGTGACTTCCTCTTAGTTATGTCCACCCTCTTGTATGGTCACCATCGAATGGTGGCCATTTATTGGGGTATTCAATCTTGAGATGTTGGCCATTTATTGGGGTCATAAAACATAGGTTGATGTTTTATCTAATTATGTTACCTGTTGAAATCAATCAGGGTTGAAGTTTTCAGCTTGTATGTTTCATTAAAATTTACCTGTACAGGTAACTCAGGTGTCTTCTCAAATTGACATTTCACCTTTTCTTGAAAATGTAGAATAGAATGTTTGTTTTAGTCTTTGTTAATTCATATTATTTGTTGATTTTTCTGTCTTTAAATTTACATATTTTCCTTTTTTTCTAATGTTTTTATTTTTTTATGTTATAATTTTTATTTGCTTTTTTGCTTCTCATTTTTTTAATTTCTTCTTGGAAAGAATCTTGAGTAGAAATGACAAAAATTCAAATATAAGTTATTGACTTAAGCATTTGAAAACAAAAGAGAGAATCCTTCAAATAATTATTTTTTCAGTAAAAAAATGTTATTGTACATGATGTACATGGTATTCTATTGTTCGTTTGCATTATTAAATGAATTATTATTAATTACAACTTATAATCATGCAAATGATATGTTTAAAGGAACCATGAAGCAAGTAATTTAACAAGCCAGTTTATTCACAAAGTTAAATTATCAATATCATGAATATCAATCCTTTTATAATAAATTTTGTTAACAAAGTTGTACTATCTATTATCATGATTATTATTCAGGAAAACTACAAATATCATTATATGGTATAGGAATAAACTATTTTTGTTTATCTTTGATATTTTTCAAATCTCAAAACGAGTTTTGCATCAAAAATCACTGAAGAGACTTACAAAGAAATTATTTAAAGAATAAATTGTCTTGCTTTTTGAAACAATTGTAAACTTATCAAATATGTTATCTTCAGTTTGGCTTATTTTGTCAGTTAACAGGCAAAATTTGTCTCCAGAAAAAATAAAGTACACTTCTATATAGATTGTGACATTTTTATGGTCTATTAATTAAATCACTTTTTGTTCTGTGTATTATATTGTCGAAACTGCAGGACTGGCATATGCATGATACATATTCTTGGTATACATTTGCAAAGAACATTTCACTCAACTCAGGCCTTTTAGATAAAGTGAATAATTGCAGGGACTTGAATGAATTAGATTCTTTAAAGCCCTTGATTAAAAATGAATTTTAAGAAAAAAAATAAGAATATTTTTGAAAATAAAATAAAAACTTATGATGAAAACAGTAAACTCAAATGCTTCACTAAGTAAAGAATTAGTGGTCATAATTTAGAAATAGAAAATGGTGAATAAAAATTCCTATAAAGGATAGAATTGTTTGTAAAATTAACATAACTTAGAGATAATCTATTTGAAAATTGTTTACCTTCTCATAATAATGTCTCTGACCAGTTTATGAATAAAATCTTGAATCTTATGAATAAAATCTTAACCAAGAACAAAAAGTAAAAGAAATGCTAAACCTCTATAACATGGAACATGTTTAAAATATTGGCTCCTTTATAAAAGAAAGTCATGAGAACTGAGGGCAGAAACCTAATAACTTTTTTCGATGTGTTTTGATTTCTTATAGAATTGTTATTTCTTTGCATTATAATGTTTGTTTTGGGTTTTTTTTTGTCAGGAACTTGATTAAATTGTAATATGTTTATATGACAATAAAAAAATTATCAAATTTTTCTGTAATGAATATTTTGAATATACATGTATTTATTCAATAGAGAAATAATGAATTGCCTAAGTTTTATTTAGAATAAGTCCTAAAGATAATCTTAAACATTTGTTAAATAATGTTAAGTGCAGTAAGTATAAACAATTTTGATTTTAGAAAATTAATTTGAGAAACACCTTTTCAATGGAAAAAGGCAGGTGTTGTGAAAGTTTGCATTATATTAGAAGATGACATTCATTTATTATTCACTTGCCAAAAAATACATGTAAAAAATAGCTTAAATTGATAGAATTATTTAAAAGTTATAACATCAAAACAAACATTTGCAAACAGTCATGAGAAAATTTTTACAAAAAAAAAGTTAGGAAGCTCTATGTTCAACTAGTTTTATTATTTCATTTTATTTTAGAATTTTCTTGTCATAATCACAGCTATTAAATTTGACAAACACAAAAAGTCATATTTTCCCTGAGACACTTTACCTGTAAGCTATGTAATTTTAACACTTGCAGTCATGATTTCTCTTTATCCTTGACTAGAATTTGATTAATACCTTGTGTATTAATTAAGCAGCAGGGGGTATAATGATGGACATTTAGGGCCATCATGGTGACCATATTTTTTATGGCCACCATTAATAAGATAATGTCACAGGTAGTACTGTATCATTAAAATCTTTAAAACACGGATATTATAAGTTGCCCGTCACAGAGTCCTCGTTTATAATCACTCTGATATTTCCGTAAAGTTGTCAGGCGGTCAAAATCAAAACAATGAACGCGAATTTAGTGAATTTTTCGTGTTTTCGTGAGTTTATTCTTCTTGAAATAGAGGCATTTTAACTTTACGTGGGAACCTAGAGTTCAACGACTACACATACAAGGTTTGGACTTGCTTATTCTTTGGACATTCAAGTTTCAAGTTTCACCCCGGCAACCTGTATTTCTAATGACCTTGTTAGCCAATTTTCAACACGAAGTTTGCAAATTTGACGTTTCAGCCATTTTAGCCTGTATATTATACTGCAATGTTAAAAGCCTCTCGCTTCGATTTTTAAAATAGATCAGGAACGTTGATTTTTGCAACGCCAGTCATTATATTTCGTTTAAATGGTGTATATTGTTGTGTATATTTATTTTCTGCCCCGGCAACCTGTCTATCACTTAAATCAAAGTTAAAACAGACATTTTTTCTAAATTCCCTATCATTTCAATATAATTTCCGTGACCCGTATCCGATTTGTTTAGTATAATATTCAAATAAGCAAAGTGGCGTTGATTTCTGGATATGGGACTCCGCCTGGTTCTGATGGCCAATCCTCTAAGACTTGATGGTCACACAGTGACATATTCAAAACTTACCTTGAAAAGCACTTCCTCAAGTATGTATCTCATGATATCTCTGGCACTCCTCTACTGATATTGTTTGATGGCCACCGCTCCAATGTGAGTTTAACTTTACAAGATTGGGCTGAATCTAAGAACATCATCCTTTTCATACTTCCACCACACTGTAGCCACATTTTGCAGCCACTAGATATAGGGTGCTTTGGACCACTAAAGGCTTGTTACAACAGGGAGGCACAGTTGTTTATGCGTAGAAACCCTGGATGTAAAATCACAAAGTTTAATATTGGACAGATGTCATGTTCACCATACCAGAAAGGTCTCTCAGCACAGAATCTGACATCATCTTTCAAGAAAAGTGGAATATATCCTTTTAACCCAAAAGCCGTTGACACTACTGAACTTGCTCCAGCTACTTTTTACCACTAAGCAACATCTGATGAAGCATCTGAATCTACAATGAACCATAGCCATATTTCCCAAGATGATGAAAACACTTTTAATCAGCCTGATCAATTAAGAAATGTTCCCTCTCATGAAATAAGCAATTCTGCCACTTTGACAGTACAACAATTTGAAGTTTCAATATCAGCTCCAAAAGAACATGATATTTTATCAGATCATGATGAATCAAACAGTCAACCCTTGCTAGTTCCCTTTGAAAGCATACACCCTGACATTCAAATATATACTGCAGAACCTATAATTGAACTGAACACATCAAACAAAAACACAGTAAACAGTTCTCCATCCGGATTCCTGCTAAAAAGGTCTGTTGTCTCAGTTGAAAAGACAGAAAAGAAAAGGAACCACTTTACCATAACAGGAAATTTAGGAAAAAAGAAAAACATGGATCATCTGAATCAGTCAAAAAAGAAAGTAGTATTTAAACTACCCTATAAGAAATCAGAGCCAATGGCAGTTGAAAATGTAACTACATGTAAAAAACAAAACAAAACAAGAAAAGATACTAAAAAGATGGCACCCTTGAAAAGAAAAAGTTCAACTGAGAGGGTTAAAACTGAAAAACAGATGAAATTATCAGAGGATGATGTTAATGCAGGTCTTGGTACATCTGGTTTGAACAAAGATAAAGGAGGACCCATATGTCTTGATAATTCACTAAGTGACAGTGATCTGACCGATGATGATGACAGTGAAACTTGCTGCGTTTGTAACAAGAAATCTTCCTCAGAGATTCGACAATTAGCAGGAATTGTTTTTTTTAAATGGGCACACTGTGACAATGATAACTGTCGTCACTGGACACATCTCCAATTCTATAGTGATGTTAGGGTTTTGAGGAGAGGGGATACATTCTTTTGTCGCCACTGTAAAGCACAGTGAACCGTTACACAGAACACTATTCCAAGAACTGTTATTCTGATTCAAACACACAAACAATAGTTTTAGAACTTTTTAATATTCATGTAATTATTTATGTATTCAGTTAAAGTAATTTTTCAAATAGTGAAAATTTGTGAAATCATTTTTCCCCTATTGACATCAAAATAAAATTATTTGAAATATTTTCACAATAAGAAGTAAAAAAAAATTAACAAAATAAAACTATTTTATTGCATCTTTAAAAAAAATTCTTGCACATTTGAATTTTTCAACACTTTTCATCTTGTCAAATATAAATTGTCCTAAATAAAATAATATTTTACTGATCTGTACTTATTTACTAGAATATTAGCGTTATTTGATGTACAAAATAGGGTGCATTAGTGTTCCTAGTTGTCCTCCATACTATAGTTTACCTTTGCACCGGAAAGAGGTTAATAAGAAAAACAATGGCGGATGATGATCGCCGATTTTCAATCATTTATTAAACTTATGAAACTAGACAAATGGGTAACATATTATGCATCATTGAAGAGCTAAATATCTGAATTTTAATTATTTGAATCATATTTGTTCCGTCTAGTTCGACAGGCAGTTGGATATGAAGATTAACATTTTGACCACCGGAATGGGGTTCACCCAGTATACGACAGATTTGTGTATGTTGTGCCATCTGTACTATTATTTGTCTGTTTGTCTTTTTATTTTTGGCCATGGCGTTGTCAGTTTGATTTCGGTCTATGAGTTTGACTGTCCCTCTGGTATCTTTCGTCCCTCTCTTAGGAAGTTTTATTTCACGTCCTGATTCCATATTTTCGCGGTGATTACCTTGTTAGACTATAAACTCAAATAAAACTCTTCTAATGATCTACTAATAAATTTAAAGTCAAAACCCATCTTTATTGATGAAGATCAATCCATGAGGACCATGTTTACAAACAATATCAACAGTACGGGAATTTCCCTTATGTGATCCATGGTTGCCGATTGGTAAACAATATGTAACAAGCTCTGTCATTGGTCAGTCGGAAGTATAAAAGCAAAAGCAACAACAGAACCGGGGGACCATCCTCATTACAGTCACGTCTCAGTCAGTACAACTGAACGGACGTGCTGGGTCAGCTCTCCTTTACCCGCTATCTTCGATGAGGGTTTACAGTTAGATGGATCAACGACTTACTACTTTCGATGACAGCAACCAATCCAACGCTGTACAGACTACGTTAGGCTATAATCCGCGTAGGGGCAAATTCCCGCGTCAACATACACTCCAAAACCCATTATAGATGGGGGAGTGGTATGCCGAGTGACGTCCGAGGGCTGTATCCTAGGTGTTAGATGATGGACCGCCATTTCACTGTCTCACGACTTTGGTCCTGATAATGCTTCCTGTCATCGTTAATACTACATCCGAGACTCATCTACCAGTACTCCATCATCGAGGTTAGCGGGCTGCCAAGCTGACCAATCTGGCCCTGAAAGCAGCCGTTGTGAAGACATAACATCAAAAGAGTCAACAAAAGAAAAACCAAAACAACTCACAAAACCAAGATGGCGGCTTACCAAAATGGCGTCCTCCACCTGTTCCTGACCGATAGCACAAAATTATTTAAACGCTCACCAAACGCCTTCGGGCACCGAGCCGACCGTGCGAGGGATGTATATCCAGTCAAGGTCGTTAAAAACTTCCATTTGTTGTAACCGGGGGAGTGTTGGTTTGACTAAGAATGGGAAGTGACAAACTTTAATAGAAGCTGGAATATGTCTGAGAAATACAGACAGGCGTTGAAAGTTAACTTTGTTTTAATTTAAGATTGTCGGTGCCGGTGACGGTGCTTAATACGGTTGTGTGTGACGGTGACGATGCTAAATACGGTTGTCGGTACCGGTAACGGTGACGGTGCTATTGAAGTGATATTGAAGGTGCACATTAAGTGCTCTGTTGGCGGTTCCGACATGATTAATATGTCATTTAATTTGTTATACTAAGTTGTTGTCTTCTATAATGTAGTAGGGTGTAATATCCTTAAATTGAGATTATAGAAAGATGCTAAATAAGTGACAACCTTGTTACTTGACTGTTGAATTATAGACTAGTTTTGTTTGTATATGTAAGACCAACCATTACTGGGGACCTGGCCAGACCAGTGAGAGAGCCGGCAAGACCCATTCTCTCCGTCGAGGATTATTTTTGATATTAATAAAATATGAAACTTTATTTTATTCAGATATTTTATTTCACAACTGAGAATATATATATAAACACAAGTATACGTTTTCCCTTTCTGTAACGTGTTTTGGTCCGACGGTAAACAGTGGACGTCAAACCTTACACTTTATAGATAATTTTACTCTCTTTTTCTTTGTGACTCTGTGTTCTCTGGTGGCCGACTCTAGCACCAGGGGGGCAGCGTTTCAATTTTAAATTATTGAAAACTATCATTCTGCTTTGAAAATGATATTAGTTGTGTAAACTAGATACACCCATTCGGGCTAACACCCTCAATTTGTATCAATTCGTGTGCACAAAAAAAAAAAACACAAATTTTGCAGCCTTATCTGAACTTGGTCGGTTTCCACTGTACTTTGACTTAGTCAAATCTATTTTGAATTGTTGGCTTATCCTAGAAAATTTAGACTCATTTCCTTTATTACAAGATGCATACCAGCATTCAAAAACTTTATTTTCTCAGCATAAATCGTCATGGTATTGCTCTCTCCAACAAATTTTAAAAACTCTTCCTGGGTTTGCAAACCTAAATGATGGGAAAAGTATTTCAAAAAATACTATCAGGAAAATATTGAAAGAGACGTGTATAAAAATTTGGAAGGATCAACTGACCAAGAATTCAGAAGGGAAGCTCCGCACTTACGTAAAATTTAAGAGTTATTATTGTTTCGAAAAGTATCTAAATATCATGAACAGTTTTGAGCTTAGATCATTAACAAAATTTAGGGTGTCGTCTCACCATTTGCAGATTGAAATAGGACGATACCAGGGTACTCCTCCACACCTAAGACTATGTCAGCAGTGTAACGCTGGTAATATTGAAGATGAAGTTCATTTTCTCTTTTATTGCACAAAATATAACGAAGACAGACACAATTTATATCACATTATTTCGGAATCCTGTCCCAATTTCATTAACTTAAATTCTCAAGAGAAATTGCTATGGCTGCTGTCTCTCATTTATTAAAAGAGTTGTGTATATTCCTGGTTAAACACTACAAATAGCAGATTCATATGACATGTTTCGCATAATTAGCAATTGTTGTTATTTAAAAAAAACTATTTGTTAATTGACCGGATTCAGTTTCTCTTTTTATTTTGTTCATCTGCTTCTGACACGGGGAGGATGGCTGTTATTGCCTATCGCAATCCAACAGTATATCCTAGAGCACCGTCCCTTGGTGTCTCCTGCAGATGAACAAATTTCCATCTTTATAGATAATATTTTTTATTGTTCATCTGCTTTTGACACGAGGAAGATTGCTGTTGCAGCTATTGTATACAACAGTATATCCATCATCATAGTCCCTTGGTGTCTCCAGCAGATGAACAAACTATATATCTTAGTTTTATAAATCTTAAACGATAATTGTGCTGATGTGAACACGAGGTGCACTGCTGGACATAGAAATAATAATAATAATAATAATAATAATAAAAAAATACTCAAGAGTACTTTTAATGTATTTTTGTTATTAGTGCTATTTTCATTTGTCTATTAAAATATCTGTCACGTTATATACTGTACAATGTCTCATGTTTGTTTCTTATATTATCATACTTTTAATTGTAAATGCCCCCTGTGGGACCCTGATTGGAATAATGAAATATTTGATTTCTAATATCTAATACATAAACGTTATCAAGAAATATAGTTTTACACTTAATATTTTCCCATCAGATTGATTTCTAGCTTTTCAAATAATGTCTACGTATCTAAATAGAAGTGTTAAATATAAATGACAGAAAAATACACGCAATTAAGATATCATTCCAAATCCATATAACTATATAACATATCCTGAAAGTATTACTGCATCTGCATAATGACGCCCCTCAGATATGTGACTGGCGATAGCTTCTACTGTGACAGACGACAGTTTTTAGTGTGACAGGCGATATCTTCTGCTGTGACAGGCTACAGCTTATACTGTGACAGGCTATAGCATCTACTGTGACAGGCGATAACTTCTACTGTGCAGGCGATAGCATTTACTGTGACAGGCGATATACTCTACTGGGACAGGCAAAAGCTTCTACTGTGACTGGCGATAATTTCTAATATGACATGCGATAGCTTCTACTGTGACTGTCGATAGATTCAACTGTGACAGGCGATAGATTCTACTGTGACAGGCGATAGATTCTACTGTGACAGGCGATAGATTCAATCGTCAGGCTATAGCCTCTACTGTGACAGGTGATATACTCTACTGTGACAGGCGATATTTTCTAGTGTGACTGGCAATAACTCCTAATGTAACAGGCGATATCGTTTACTGTGACAGGCGATAACCTCTACTGTAAAAGGCAATAGCTTCTATTGTGACTAGCGATAGCTTCTACTGTATCAGGCGATAGCCTCTACTGTGACAGACGATATCATATACTGTGACAGGCGGTATACTCTTTTGTAACAGGCGATAGCTTCTACTGTGACTGACTGGCGATAACTCCTAATGTGACAGGCGATAGCTACTACTGTGACTGGCGATAACTTCTACTGTGACAGGCGATTTCTTCTACTGTGACAGGTGATAGATTCAACTGTGACAGGCGATAGCCTCAACTGTGACAGGCGATATCATATACTGTGACAGGCGGTATACTCTTCTGTAACAGGCGATAGCTTCTACTGTGACTGACTGGCGATAACTCCTAATGTGACAGGCGATAGCTACTACTGTGACTGGCGATAACTTCTACTGTGACAGGCGATTTCTTCTACTGTGACAGGTGACAGCTTCAACTGTGACAGGCGATAGCCTCTACTGTGACAGACGATATCATATACTGTGACAGGCGGTATAC